GGGAAAAAGAATCCTTACACACACACACACACACACACACACACACACACACACACACACTCCTATCTCAGAAACAAACATTATAACATCAAGTCACTACAAGTGAGAGCCATCTGTGCTGATATGGCAATACCTACCAGGTCTCATGTTACATAAAAAGAGCAGGTGTAGCAATAGTGTAAACAATTCAAAGACACACACACACACACACACACACACACACACACACACACTCAGAGCATTTCTGGAAGGATACCCTTCTTAAAAAAAAAAAAAAAAAAGACTGTTAACAGAGCTTCCGCCTTGGGAAGGTACTGGAAGTCAAAGCTTATTGCTCAGTTGGAGGCACAGTTGGACATTGCCATGCTGATCATAGCTGTTGCACAAGGCCCTCAAATGTCCTCCTTACCACCTTGCTTGTCTCAACTCCACCCCTACTCCCCAACACAGGCCACCTTGTGGTTCAGCAATTGGCTTGAGGTCGGAGGGCTTGGCTCCTCCAGGACCACGTCACAGCACTACAGTCCGTGTTCACTGCATTTGTTCAGTAGCTTTGTCTTACAGGTTATTAAATGTTTGGGTGTTCAGAGACAGAGGACTCTACTTTTTAATAGCAAATTAATAAACACCAAGGCATTGTTTATAATGAGGTTAAAAAAAGAAAACAAACATTCATCAATAGAAAACTAGTTAAAAATATAAATCAGTATATTCATAGAATAGAAATATATAGTCATGATGATATAGAAACAAATCTCTTTTTTTTAAATATTTTTGGGGGACAGTACTGGAGATTTTACGCAGGGGCAATTTACCACTGAGCAACGATACTAATCCTTTTTATTTTAAGACAGGGTCTCAGTAAGTTGCTGAGGCTGACCTTGAACTTGCAATCCTCCTGCTTCAGTCTCCCAAACCACTGGGATTACAGACGTGCACCTGACTCAGACATGTTTTAAATTATTTGCTTTAAATTAGTTGTGAAATAATCTGATGTTGGAGGAGTGGGGTGGGTATAGATAAATGAGATTAGACATAAGTTGCTAATCATTAAAACCATGGGATGGGCAAGTTCATTATATTTTCTGTACTTCTACATACTTAAAAAGAAAATTTCCAAGCTGTGGTTGTGGCTCAGTGGTAGAGCACTTGCCTAGCATGTGTGAGGCACTGGGTTCAATTCTCAGGACCACATATAAATAAATTAATAAACAAAGTAAAGATCCATCAACAATTAAAAAAATTTTCCATTGTAAAAACTTAGGTTTGAAAAATACTGATATAGATCTATGGTTACTGACATAAAAGAAGCTTGTGGTATTGTTAAAAAAAACAGTATATTCAGAATATAAGTATAGTTTGTTTCCAATTATAGAATATTATATAGAATTCTGGAAAGCATTAACAAAAAAAAATTTTTTTTTTTGAGTATCAAGGATTGAATTCAGGGGCCCTCGAGCACTGAGCTCTATTTTGTATTTTATTTAGAGACTCCGTCTCACTTAATTGCTTTACACCTCACTTTTGCTGAAGCTGGCTTTGAACTCACCATCCTCCTGCCTCAGCATCCTAGCCACTGGGATTACAGGCATGCTTCACCATGCCCAACAACCAAAATGTTTTCAGTGGTCATCTCTAGGTATTAGTATTTGGGATATTTTTCACTGCCTTAGGCTTCTCCATTATGACTTTCTTTACAATAAGTCTATCACACACACACACATGCAAATAAGAATATTCTTAAAAATGTAGAAATAAAAGTTTCTATATGCAAAATGCCACTGTGGGGTTCATGATATTCCTAACTTCTGTCATTGGTTCTTGTGTGCAAGGCAGTGTGCCAAGAGCTCTCTCAACATGGTCTCATTGTGTGGCAGTGAATGAGACATGAATTCCCATGGTCCCCATTTTGTAGATAAGGAAACTGAGACTCAGAATAATAAGTTTCTTGCTGTCCCACTCCTAGGCAGGGAGCCTGTATGCAAAGTCAAGCCCCTCTAATTTCAATGTCCAGGCAGAATTTCAGTAAAGACTCTTATGTTTAGAGGGGTGCTAATACTGACTTTCTAGGCCAATTTTTATTTTTTTTAATATATTTTTTCTAACATTTGCTCAGATAGGTGCATACTTTCACATAATTGTATTGCATATGTATCATTTTCTCTTTTTCCCAAAAGCACTTCATGTTTCCACAGATTTTATTTGTTTTGTCTTGAGGGTTTTTTTTTTTTTTTTTTTGTTATTTTGTTTTGTGGTGCTGGGCTAGAATCCAGGGTATTATACATGCTAGACAAGTGGTCTACCACTGACTCCCACCTCTCCACAGATTTTATTTATTTATTTATTTATTATTTATTTATTTATTTATTTTAAAGAGAGAGTGTGTGAGAGAGAGAGAGAGAATTTTTTAATGTTTATTTTTAAGTTTTTGGTAGACACAACATCTTTGTATGTGGTGCTGAGGATCAACCCGGGCCGCAAGCATGCCAGGCAAGTGCACTATCGCTTGAGCCACATCCCCAGCCCTCCACAGATTTTAAATAATTGTTTAACATTTATGTAAAACTCCACACAACCAATTGACCTATGCATCCTGGGTTTTGAAGCCTAGTATTTAATATGATCTATAATACTGTAATGATGATTATAATGCTCTGGCAGTTCCATCTGTGGATTCTTTTCTTCCTGTTGAGCTGGTTCCTATGGTTACAATGACCCAAGTTATTACTCAGGTAAAATATATTCATCTAACACAACTCACATTGCTGGGCTCAGTGGGCAGCACAGAGCAAGCCACGGTGGAGGCCTGGCCTTCAAGAACTACACAGTCCAGTTGAGCAGGCAAAACATGGAAGAGGGAGGGAAGCTGCTAGGAGCTGGCCTGCTTGGCCTTTCACTTCCTGTCCCTGGGATTGCTGCTAAATCCCCTAGGTTCAGGGTCAGAACCTTTCTTTATTGTGTCTAAGCAGAAGTAAAGCTGCTTTCTTGCTACTGCAGCAACTTCCTTCCCAATGCTCATCTGCATCCTAGCCCCTGTGGCCTGCTCTTTTTACCAGGGTTCTCAACCACATCGGCTTCCCTGACCTTGTCTGCTTGACTTTCACTGACATGTGACATCTCCTGACAGGGCCCCCAGGCACAGTGAAGAAAGGGTAGCTATACATGGCAGCTATGCATCTTCAGGCCTGGCCTCCTTTTTAGCCTTGGCTTCTACTCCATGTAGGCCCCTGGTCCTAGGCCCCTGGCCCACCACCTCCACTTGCCCTCACTGCCTGTCTTCCAAGGCCAGGTCCCACTTCTGCACCCAGCCAGCTCAGATCACTGTGCTGACTCTCCACTGACTGCAGACTCCCCGAGGACAAGGCCCAGGTCTTCCTATCCCTCAGTGTTTAACAGAGTGCTCACAGCACTGGCCTGTAAGTACTTAGGCTGTTAAATCAGTATTTACAAGTGGGCGAGTGGTCCCCTCCCATCTTTGTTTCTCAGTGTCCACATCTGTAAAGAGACCTAATCTTTAAGTCCCCTATAGCTCTAAAAGTCCTTAGACCAAGTGCCTGAGTTTCTCATGCACCAGTCATGTTAAATAAAAAGATTTATTCTTTCATTTTTCAACTTACACAAATTTATTCCATTGTAGTGTTGAAATCAGCTATTGTCTTAGAAATTGAAGTTTTAAATCTACTAGCATTTTAAAAGTTCTATTGGGTTATCGGTTTTCATAACGTTTTGGTATTTATTTCATTTTTAATGAAATAATCTGCCAATGTCACTTAAAATTCAAATAATGTTAAAAATACATTAAGGAAAAGTCCCAGTCTCTGTCTCACCCTTAACCCCTGCCAGTTGTATTCCTCAGAATGCTCCTGAGAGGCAATTATTTTCAACTCTTTTAGCTATTTCTTTTGGAATTTAACCTCATGCTTCTAAACAATTTTGCCTTTTGGTGCTGGTGCTGTTGTGATGCTGGGGATGGAACTCAGAGCCTCATGCATGCTGGGCCAGGGCTCTACCACTGAGTCACACTCTCAGCCCACTTTGTTAATTTTTCAATTTTCCACCTTCTCTATTAATTCCTGGTACAGTAAACAAGGATTTAGCTGCTACACATTCTCCTTCTTTTTCCTACCCCCATTCTTCCAGTGAAATCACAATTCACTTTTTAATATTAAGTGTCTACATTCATACCTATGAATGCGTACCTTGCTACGATTATGTTTACTTTCTCATACAATACTTTTTAACCAAACATGTACTAATCCCTTTTGCAATTTTGTCTTCTTTCCCATATTCTTGTGCTCACAGAATTAAAACTCTCTTAATTCTTAATTATTTGAGCAGGGTTCTGCAAAATAATGAAAATAAATAAGAGTGGTTAAGGCTTCTTCATGCTTATCTGAGAGTTGTCTTGAATGCAGCCCTTCATGAAAGGGAGTTTGTCTTTATGGAGACAGGAAGTGGAGTTTTCACTCTAATTTAGGCAGGAGACCAGGTGAGATTGCATAGTAGCTTGATTGACAGCTAATTTTCCAGATAATTCTATGCAGGTCCTGCTGTGCGAATTTCTCCTCACATCAATGAGAGCCAGAGTGGCCTGAGGGACGAGCAGGAGCTTAGGAATCAGGGAGACTTCTGTTTGTTCCCAACTCTGCAACTTGCTATCTCTCTGACCTCTCTGAATATCCTCATCTGTAAACATGAGATAGCAAAATTGAATACTTATTGTGTACTTGCATCACAGTAAGAACTCAGTTCTGGAAAATTTTAAATTGCTTTCAAGTCAAGTCTATTGGGTAGCAAGAAGGGAGGTGTTATTCTATCCTCAAGACCTGACACCAGATCAGCAGCTTCTGAAGTCATCTACCATTATTCTTTGGGTCCTTCCCAGTTTGTCCCTAGTTTTGCTTTGATTCTAGGTGACGTAACTTTCTGCTGTTGTTTTCTAATTTCAGCAAAAACCTTCTAAAAGATCTAGCAGCCAAGGCTGCTCCTGACCTGGGGACATGTACCACAACCCTCTCATCTACTGTACCTGCTGGGACCCCTGGAACTTGGGATCACGGAAGCTAATCAAGACCCTTCAGCCACCAAACAAGGTCCCTACCAGGAAGTCCAAGTAAGGATTAACTGGGATGGGGTAGGGGCAGGGGGCTTGGGTTTCATTTGCAGCCTTCTTCTTGTCACAAGTTTTCAAAAATAATAAGCTTGGCTGCAAAATCCCAAATGGGCCAGAAAGCCTAGCTTCACACAGCCTTCTCTGCCAGCCTGGCGGGGGCTATGCGCTGATCTCACCAGTCCTGCCTGAGGCTCAGTGTTGTTTTCAATGAGGACATCTCAGTGTTGGTGCAGCAGGGAAAATGCAGCTTCCAACTGAGAATCTTTGGTGGCAGCTGACTCCTCCCTCTAGGACAAGAGCTCTGGGGGATGAGCTGGGCTGCTAACCTGGGGACTCCCCAGCACAATGGACAAGTGCCAGGGCCTTGGGTCTGAGGTCTTAAAGGCCTCAGATCTTCAAGACATATATTTCAATTTGGGGTCCTGTGAGTATGTACTTAATGGAGAGTATTGAAACGGGTTTTTGAATTTCCGTTGTTCTCTTTTTGAGTTACTTATTTTTCACTTTTAGGTCAACTCCTCTTCTACCGGCTACAAAAGAACAGAATTACCTCCAATCCCCACCATCAACAAAACCTGTTGATGTCCCAAAGTACGTATTTCTGGATCTGGGAGGCAGGAATGGTTTGGGGCATGTGAATGAATTAATTCCCAACATACCCGGTCCTGCCTGACTTGAACTAATCTGCTTCCAAGGACATCAGAGAATTGTCGGAATCCATTGGAATTTCCCTTAAAACTTCAGGCCCTGTGGGTAAATCCTATAGTCCTCCGTATCCATAACTCCTGAAGTCACTACAAGTGAGCTCTCAGCAGGGAAGCCCTCCTTAGCTCTTTCCTGCCTTACCAAGGACCATGCTTTTCACAGTTCTGGAAACTTGGTGAGCTCCCATGGTAGTTATGGTGGTGACTCACCTTCACTGATTACATTCCTGCACCTAAAGATTCTCTATAGATAGCCTCTCTGTTTTAATCACATTTGACAAGTCACAAGAAGTGTGACTTAGCTTTAGGTCTTGTCAGAAATCTTTGTATATCATTTATTTATTTGCTTGGAAAATGTTTATTGAGCACCTGTTATTTGTCAGGGGCTGTTTGGGGTACAGGAGACACAGCCATGAACACAATGTGTCCCCTCCCTTGAGCTTTCCAGTCTAGTGGGGGTAGCGACACTATAGAGAAAAATAATGCAGGCCAAGGGCGTAGGGGGTGTGAGGGTGCCGTTGTTGTCCACAGGAGGTCAGGTCAAGTCCCTGTGTTAAGGGGATGGCTGCAGCCACACTGAGGTCTGGGCCAAGTGCTCCTGGCAGATGGAACAGCAAGACAGAGGCCCTGTGTGGGCAGTTGCTTGTGTGTCTGTCCTCTTCCAAGAAAGCAAAGAGGTCAGGATGGCATGAGTGGGTGGGGGGGGGGGAGTGGTGGAGATGAGCTCAGGGACCGCAAGGAGATGATGTGGTAGAACAGACAATGCTCATCCCCCTCGGCTGCCTTCCAGAGATGTCCACCTTCGAATCCCTGGAAACTATAAATATGTTGTGTGGTTGCCAGGAGGACTTAGGGTTGCTGATGAAATTAGGGCTGTTAATCAACTGACCTTGAGTTGGAGAGACTATCTTGAATTTTCCAGTTGGGCCCAGTGAAATCGGGAAGGTCCTTTTTACATGAAAGAGGAAGTCAGAATGTCAGAGTCTGAGGAAGAAATATGACAACAGAAGCACAGGTTGGAGTGAAGTGATTGTTAGTTTTGAAGTTGGAGGAAAAGGCCACTAGGGACACAGGAAGCTTCTAGAAAAAAACAGTCTGGTGACCCCTTGATTTTAGCCCAATGAGTCTCATTCAGACTGCAGCCCCCCTGAGGCTGTGCCTCAGTGGGTTCCCTAGTGTCTTCATCAGCTTCTTCACTGCTGTGACTAAAGGATCTGACCAAAACAACTGTGGAGGAGAAAAAGGTTATTTGAGGGCTCATGGTTTCCGATGTCTTAGTCCATAGAAGGCCGGCTCCATTCCTGGGGGGTCTAGGTGAGGCTGAACATCATGGTGGAGAGTATGGTGAAGGGAAGCATCTCATATGGTGATCAGGAAGCAGAGAGAGACTCTCCACTCTCCAGATACATAGCCACGCCCCCAGTGAACCACCTCCTCCAGCCACACCCCACCTGCTTCCAGTTACCACTCAGTTAATCCCATCAGAGATTAGTTCACTGATTAGGTGAAGGCTATGACCCAATTCTTTCTTCTCCAAACCTCCTTGCATTGTCTCACACATGAACTTTTGGAGAACACCACATCTAAACCATCAAACCCATTCACCCTGGGAGTCCCCTAAAATTCAGATGATCAGAGCTCCAAGAAGAAGGGTCAGATGATGATGTATCAGATGCAGCTCCTAAACTTTGGGCTTGCCTTTGCCCTCGAGGTTTTCTGAGCATTTCTTTCTCTTGCAGAGCGAAAACCAACGTAGGAAGGCAAGAGGAGGGTTGTAAGTCACCTTATGTGAGTATCAACGGGACAGGGTCACAGGACATTGATCCAGCAGTTGCCCAGTAGGCCCAGGTCTCTTACGCATGCTGTCTTCCTGAATCTTTGCATGCTCCTAAGAGGAGGTGCTGTTATCATTGCACAGCGTGTGTCTGGTCAATGGTGGAACCACGACTTAGCCTGTCAGGCGTTTGCTTGCCACTCTATGCTCATGCAGGGCAAGAGTCCCAGGGAAACCCGACAGTGACAGCTAGTCCAGGCCAGGGTGTAGCTTGTGCCCAGGTGCAGGAAGCCTCTGCAGGTGCACAGGAAGCCACAAATCCCATGGCAGGGGATGTCAGGACACCTGAAGGGACCAGCAGTGAATGCTGGGGAAAGAGATGGAGAGCAAACCCAAAAGGCTCTTGACACCTACCTTGGAGTGTGGGCCTGATCCCTGCTCTGCACAGGAGTGTTTATGGGTCTGACACAAGCACAGAACCAGGTAAGAATTACGTTTTAGGAGTGGAGTTGTGGCTCAGTGGTAGAGCACTTGCCTAGCATGTGTGAGGCTCTGGGTTTGATCCCTGGCACCAAAATAAATAAATAAGTAAATAAACAAATAAAATAAAGGTATTGTGTCCATCTACAACTAAAAAAAAAAAAGAATTACATTTTAGAAAATGTGCCCTCTGATGGGATATTATGGGAACCTTTTGCTATTTTTCGCTTTGCTTCCCTCCTGCCACCATACCCCACAAGAACCATGTACTCCTTAATGACCAGGAAGTAAAACACACAAAAACATAATTGCCTCTCCAGGAGGAGAGGATGATGAACTTAGGGAAGTGATTCTGAAGGCAGAGAGGCCAGCTGGGAGGGTGTCATTAGAAACCAGAGCAAGATGCCTACAGCCTTGGGTGATGTCCAGGTGGGTGTAAAAGAGAGGGCCAGGTGGAGATGCTCTAGGAGATAATGTTGAGGGGCCTCAAGGTGATTTGGCAGCTCCAGAAGCAAGGATCTCATTCTGGTCCACACCAGCTGGTAGCCCTGCCAGGAATCTGACTTGGCATCTCGTATGGGAAGGAGAAGAAACCGACATTTTCGTTTTGTTTTTTTGCAACCATGCTAGTCATTTCTTTAGGTTGTTTCACTTTTCCTCACAAAAGCTTTTTGAGAGAGAATTATTACCCCCATTTTTCAGATGAGAAAGCTGAGACACAGAGATGTTAAATAACTAGAGAATTGGTGGCAGGTCTGTTCAATTCCAAAACCTGAGCAGTTTCCACAATGGCTCCATCCAGCATGGAGGATGCAGCGGAGGAGCAGTTGAGCATTGGGATTGGATCTCAAAGATCTGAGGGTGAATGGTAACTGGGAGAGGGTGCAGAAGGTACTTGGGTCCTGGAATCCCATCTCATGACTCTATTTTTCAGATGATAAGACAATGGTAGACTTGGAGGACTCTCAGGGCTCTAAGTCTACAATTTTACTTTATCTTCTCCATTGGCRCTCAGGAAGTGATCAATGTGTCACCTGGCTATCAACTTGCCCGGAATCGGAAACAGATTTCTGTCACCTTGGGGGATGAAATGTTTGGTAGGAAAAAGCGGTTGGAATCTGARATGATGGACAAATTCAACATGTCCAGGTAATGTCTTAGGACCAGCATCCAGCTCCTCTCAGCTATCCCACCTGGCCCTAAGGACAAGCCTCTGACATCCTTGCCTGGGCCACCTGGCCACCTCTCTTCTGCCCCCTGTTTCCCAATCCTGCTTCTCTCTACACCCATCTTGCTCTGTTCTGATCCCATCCATGAGTGAATYCAGAGGATGGGATGAAGATGGAATTAGTTTGATTCATACTGAGGAGAGTGGTTGTTCCTGTGGGTGAGAAACAGGTGAAATATTCATGAATGAGTCTAGATTTAGAGTATGTAAATTAGGAGTAAAGTCAGTTTTTGGAAGACTCAAGTATGCACTTCTTCTTTCACTATAAATAGTCTAAAAATACCACTCAATTYATGCCTCTGGGAAATACAGAGTACAAAGTTCCCAGCGCCATTCCATTGAGCACAGTCATCTTCTGTCACTGAAGCACACCCTCTGGCTAGCCTACAATGCCATACGAAGCATAATCCCACACCTTTTAATTCCACCTCCTCAATTTCTCACTCCTATCTTCCTTCCTCACTACCCTGAGTTCAGGCATCCTTACTTCTTACCAGCTCTACTCTGAGTGTCTTTTCCTTCAGACTTTAGTCTTTTGTCAGAATTATTTTTCTAGACAGACATCTAAAAGACCAATAACAGAAAACAATGACAGAAAACATACACGCCTTCACAATCACAATCAGTGTGTAGAAAGGACACAGCCAAACCATTAGTAGGGTTAGAAGAGATTCAGGTTGAGGGTCAAACTGTGCTTTGGAGTTGCCCGGAGTCCTCTGACCTGGCCCAGAAGCCAGACCAAGTCCCCATCTTCCCATCCAGTGGGATTATTCCATCTCTGTCCTCTTTTCTCTGATCATCCACAATCCTCAGCAGGAAGAGAATGGGTCATGTACATGTACTTGCCAGTCACACTAATACCCACAGCTRCTTTGTGGCCTCCTAAGAAGTTTGCCACCAGTTGTGGCATAATAAAACATAATAGCCCATGCTTGTCTCATTCCCTGGTAAAGCTGTCTGCACATTCCTTATACTGAAGCTCATGTTCAGAAGACAAGGGTTCTGCATTGTTCGACTTTCTCAGATCCTGTTACCCTCCCCCCAGATCCTGTCTTGTTTTCTTACCTCACATGCTTTCATGCCCAATTAGACATAGAGAAGTGTTTGGCCAAGTGAACTCCCTTCAGTTTCACTGCACATAGCATTACTTGCTACTCTGTTTACTCTGGCTCAACCAGATAGAACTGAGTAATTTATACATATCATGGCAGCCTCAGGCCCACAAACACAGTAAATAATTATCTATTCTGAAAGTCACTCTCTTAACTCCTCTCTTAGTCCTATTTCTGGCCCATTTCTTGTGTATGATTCACTGTCCGCATGAATCCTACTCCCCGCCTTCTCATTTCCTAATCCTCTGAACTTAACCCTGCTGCATTTCAACTATCATGATCAAGTCAAGGTAAAACCCTAATCAATGTCAGACATATTCCTATTTCTCTTTACTCAATAGGGTACCAAACCACCCTGCTCCCTTCTGGCCAGGTCACCCAAAAGGCTAAATCTGAGGTTCAACCACTCAACTGCAACCAACCTTCTCCAAGAGCACCCCTCCATTCTGTCACGCCTACCTCATAATGATGGAACTAGTACAGAAATGACCTGGTTCTAATCATCCCAGGGCCCTGACTGGCCTGCAATGAATTATAAGTTCTGTAGATAATAGAAGAATTACTTCTCCCACAGGACCAACATAATTAGTGACCTTGAAGAGCAGATCTCAGAGCTGACAGCATTAATAGAACAAATGAACAGAGACCACCAGGCTGATCAGAAATTGGTGAGTGATCCTTGCAGTAGCCAACATCTTTCTGGGTGGGGTAAGACTAATATTTTCAGATCACCAATGTGCCAGGAAGACACCAAGCACTTTATTCCCATGAACCATGTTATCTAGATGATAGAACTCTGAAGATAGGACCATGCAACTGATAGTATCTCTCTGACTCCATCTTCATCCATAACAACAAGCACTCAAGGTTTAACTTGTTCATTTCTGGGAGTTCTCCAGGTGTCTTCCAGTGAACCTCAGTGGAAGTGAACCTCCTCCCCATACTAGGGGGCACTGGTCACTCCTCATCTGGCCTTTGTGGTGAGATCAGCTTCAGAGGTTGCCAGGATCTTACCATTTTCACCCACATGGAGGAAACTTCCAGTGTTGCTCAAATCTTCCTGGAGGCCTCCAGTGCCCACTGTGTTGCTATTAAGCTGTTGAAGGTCACTCTTCAGAATCATTTCTATATGAAATCATTTTTATATGCTTCCTGGGATCTGCATAAGTGATACTTCTTTAGATTTTATTACCCACTACATCATGGTCCCTTTTTCCCCACCTTAAGCAGATATGCCTGTTGGTCTGGGCTAGAATAATAGAAGTATGCTAAAAAATATCATCCCCAATGTAATTGACACAAATTTGTGAGATTCTACCCCCCAGCAGGCAACCTTTCACTCTCTGGAATATCCTAGGTATGTTCAAATCCTACAGGAACCCAGCTTATGACCCAGGCTGAGATCTCCTCCACTACGGATTCATTATCTTATTTATCTGAAAACTCTGCCAGGTTGATGTGTCCTTCTACAGAAAGAATATTGAGGCTCAGGGAAGTTTTATCATTTGTATAAGGTCACAGCCCAACAGTAGTGTGTTGTTGGGTAACATGCACATTGTGACTTATAAGCACAGGCCCTGCTGAGGACAAACATGCAGAGACTGTTTCCACGGAGGGACCTAGATTGTGATCTTGAAAATACCCCACTTTGGGGAATATCCTAATTTGTGATGTGATCCTGTGGAGGAGAYGTGTTGGCTGCCATCATGCCTGTCACCCCTGGGGCCTGACCCCTTGGTTGTACCAGGCAGTCTCTGGCTCCTCACCTCTAGTCAAAGGCATTAAATCCTTATCTCAGCTGACTGTTGGGACACTGACCAGAAGATCTGGTGTGTTAGAAGGGAGTCACCTGAAAGTAAGCAAATCCTATCTGCTGGAACCCCACCATGCTATCCACAGGACAGGATAACACTAAGCCTTAAGTTCCTTAAAATCAGCATCTAAGTGTTAGTTCTAAGCCAAGTCCTTTGCTCAGTAAAGGATCTCTCAATTGAGTTATTTATCCAGAAACCCAAAGGCCAGTCTTACAAAGAAATGTCAGTCCAGCAGAAGAGACCAGACCAATCTACAAAAATCAATTAATCAAAGAGATGGCCTACAAGCACCAACATTATGCACTGATTAAGTATAAAACAACAAAGAGTAAGGCAAGAATTGTTTCATTCCCTTGATAATAGCATGTTCTCTGATATTGCAAAACACAACTAGGGGAGGTGTGGGGTGGGAGGCATCCCCTGTGATTTGGAAGACTTTTCAGAAGAAGCAAATCAGAGTGGGGCCTAGGTTTTCAACACAGTGTTGTTTAATGATGACTTCATTTTCAGCTTTTTAATGAAATGGAACTCCAGTGTGCTGAGATGAAACAGAACTTTGAAAACAAGAACAGGTATGCTTTCTAGCATGATCCCTGTGTGCTGAAGGCCTTAAGGCTTCTGCAACAGTCTACAGAATTTCAGTTCTCTGGAACTTGAGATGATGCAAAGTGGAATCAGAGATTGGGGGTCAGTGAGATGAGTAAAGCATGAGTCACTGGACAGCAGGATGGCCTAATTTGAGAGCACTAAAATGAAGCACAGAAAAGCTATTCCTGCTCTTGTATTTTGTCATCCATTTTTTTCGCTTTGATTATAAATTTTGTTTGTTTGTTTGTTGTTGACAGGAGCCATTTTTGTTCTCTGAGACTTCAGAGAACCTTTGTGAACAATTTGTTCTCAGCACATTCTTCTCCTTTTCCTCTTCCTTCTTTTTCTCCTTTTCTTATCTCTTCCTGGCTGCTAGGTTGAGACCTGGGGAAACTAGGAAGAAGGGAGAGAAGGAGAAAGTGATTGACAAATCAAGGGGAAATGAAAAGGAGGTGTATTGTCTGTGGGAGTGAGAAGAATCTCAAAGTTCTCTTCTAGGCTACCTGCTGAGTCCCAAAGCAGCCTCAGCAATCCTGGTGGAGAGAGCACTCCTAGTTGAGTCACACATAGCCTTTTGATTGTTAGCTACTTTTTAAGAGATGTTTTAGCTTTTTCACAAAATTGAGGTTAAAGTCCAAAATTCCCATGTACTGAGATGTCTAAATAGTCTATTACAATTTTGTTGTATACGCTTTTATTTTTACATTTTTTATTTTATTTATTTATTTATACTTTTACTCTCTATATATATTTTCCTCTCATTTGTTTCTTTGGAGTGTCTTTCTGTCTTTTCTCGTGCTAACAGCCAACTTCATTTGATTCCTTCTTCACTCTTCTTATGATGTAATACCTCTACATTCTCACTTCCTACCTCATATACATCACATCCTATACCCCCTTCCCCCGGTTCTCTCTTTGTCCACCATTAGAAACTGTAGACCCTTTTGTATTTATTGTAGCTGATAATGGAACACATCATTTCTGTTTATTGGAACAAAACTATAATCATTTAAATAGAAGCCATTTGATTTACGGCTGCAAATTGTTTGCATTGTGTGCTGTTAATATTGATCTCTCCCTGAAAGGTGAGGTACTGGAAACCTGTAGGGACACTATAAGTCTATAGGGTAGAAACTGTAATACCTCGGATTCACATTGCTAGAGTGGAAGACACACGAACAACATGAAAAAGCAAGGGAAGAAAGTGCCCCAAACAAACCAAGATACTACAAAAATAGAATGCATTGACAGCAGTAGAATAAATGTCAGAGAATGAGCTCAGAATGTACATAGTTAAAATGATTTGCAAAGTAAAGAGTTATATAAGCAAGCAAATACAAGCAACAAAAGATCACTTTTGTAAAGAGATAAGAGAGCAAATATGGATAAGAAAGAGAGATTCTGAAAAAAAAACACAGAAATCCTTGAAATGAATTAAACAATAAACCAAATTAAAAACTCAATAGATCACTTGGAACACAGAACCTCAGTCAATGAAGACAAAATATATAATCCTAAAAATAAAGTTGACCACATAATGAAGATGGTAAGAAACCATGAGCAGAACTTCCCAGAATATTGAGATAACATGAAAAGACCAAATTTCAGATTTTCTGGGATAGAGGAAAGCACAGAGACACAAGCCAAAGGAATGTACAATTTTTTCAGTGGAATAATATCGGAACATTTCCCAACCCTGAAAAATGAATTGGAAAATAAAATACAAGAGTCTTATAGGATACCAAATGCACAAAATTATAACAGATCTACACCAAGACACATTATAATGAAAATGCCTTCCATACAACATGAAGATAGAATTTTAAAGGTCTTAAGAGAAAAGTTTCAGATTAGGGGGAAACCCATTTGGATCTCAGCAGATTTCTCAACCCAGATTCCTAAAGCTAGGAGGTCCTAGAATGACATATTCCAAGCTCTAAAAGAAAATGGATACCAAGAATCTTATGTCCAGCAAAATTAAACTTCAGATTTGCTGAAAAAATAAAAACCTCCCATTATAAGCAAAAAAATTAAAAGAATTTACAATAAGAAAGCCTGCACTATAGAACAATTCTCAACAAAATATTCCATGAGGAGGAATTGAAAAACAACAATGATAATCAGCAAAGGAAGGAATTACATAAAGTCAAAGCTAATCTAAGGAGAAACCAAGTCAAGTTCAAAATCAAAAATAAAACAAAATGACCGGGAATACAAACCATATTTCAGTAATATCCCTGGATGTTAATGGCCTAAACTCATCAATAAAAAGACACAGACTAGAAGATTAGATTTTAACAAAGACTCAACAATATGCTGCCTTCAAGAGACTCATCTCATAGGAAAAGACATCCACAGACTGAAGATGAAAGAATGAAAGAATGGACTATGTAAACAAGCAAGGATTTCCATCCTCATATCAGATAAACTGAACTTGAAGCTAAAGGTAATCAGAAGGGATAAAGAAGGACATTTCATACTGTTTAAGAGAATCATTCATCAGTAACACATAACAATCATAAACATTTCTGCCCCAAACAATGGAGCATCTACATACATCAAGCAAACATTTCTCAACTTCAAGAATCAAATAGGTCACAATAGAATAATCCTGGGTGACTTTAACATACCTCTCCCACCCCCTGGATAGATCTTCCAAACAAAAACTAAACAAACTATAGAACTTAATAATACAATTAATAATTTAGACTAAACAGATATATATATATATATATATATAATATTTCATCCATCAATAGAGATACACTTTATTTCACAGTAGCACATGGATACTTTTCTAAAATAGAGCATATGTTATGCCACAAAAGCAAGACTTAGCAAATACAAAGAAATAGAGATACTACCTTGCATTCTATCAGATCATAATGTAAGGAAATTAGAAATCAATTATAAAAAATAAAAAATAGAAGCTATTTCAACATCTGAAGACTAAATAATATGCTAGTGAATGAACAATGCATAGTAGCTGCATCAGGGAAGAGATAAAAAATATTCTTAGAGGTAAATAAGAATAGTGATACAACATCAAAAACTCTGGGACATTGTGAAGGCAGTGCTAAGAGGAAAGTTTATTGCACTGAGCTCATTCGTTAAAAGAATAAATGTCAACAAATAAGTGACCTAATATTACATCTCAGAGCCCTAGAAAAAGAAAAATAAATCAATACCAAAAGTAGTAGAAGATAGGAAATTATTAAAATCAGAGCTGAAATCAATGAAACTGAAACACAAGAAACAATTGAAACAATAGACAAAAGGAAAAGTTGGTTCTTTGAAAAAATAAATAAAATTTATAAACCCTTAGCCATGCTAACAAAACTAAGGAGAGAGAACACTCAAATTATTAAAATTCATGATGAAAAAGGAAATATAACAATGGACACAATTGAAATACAGAAGATAATTAGAAACTATTTTAAAGTTTATATTCCAAAAAAATAGAAAGTTCAAAGACATCAACAAATTCAGATTTGCTGACAATTTCAGATTTTCTAGAGACATATGATCTACCCAAACTGAGTCAGGAGGACATACACAATTTAAACAGATTTCAAGCATTGGAATAGAAGAAGCCATCAAAAGCCTACCAAGAAAGAAAATCCCAGGACCAGATGGATTCTCAGCCAAGTTCTATAAGACCTTTAAAGAAGAACTAATACTAATACTCCTCAAATTATTCCATGAAATAGAAATGGAGGGAACCCTTCCAAACTCATTCTATGAGGCTAGTCTTACCGTGATACTAAAACCAGACAAAGACACATCAAGGAAAGAAAACTGTATACCAATATTCTGATGAACATAGATGCAAAAATTCTCAATAAAATTCTGACAAATCACATATAAAAACATATTTTAAAAGATAGTACACCATGATCAAGTGGTGTTCATCTCAGGGAGACAAGGTTGGTTCAACATATGAAAAATCAAAAAACATAATTTATCACATCAACAGACTTAAAGACAAGAGTCATATGATCATCTCAATAGATGCAAAGAAAGCATTTGACAAATTACACCTCTTTATGTTCAAAACACCAGAAAAACTAAGAATGGTAATATCTCAACATAGTAAAACTATCTATGCTAAGCCCAAGGCCAACATCATTCTAAATGAAGAAAACTTGAAAGCATTCCCTATAAAAACTGGAACAAAATAGGGATGCCCTCTTTCATCACTTATATTCAATATAGTCCTTGAAACTCAAGCCAGAGCAGTAAGACAGATGAAAAAAGGGATACAAATAGGAAAAGAACTCAATCTATCACTATTTGCCAAGGACATGATTCTATGTTTAGAGAATCCAAAAAATTCCACCAGAAAACTTCTAGAACTAATAAATGAATTCAGCAAAGTAGCAGGATATAAAATCTATACCCATAAATCAAATGCATTTCTATACATAAGCAATGAATCCACTGCAAGAGAAATTAGGAAAACTACCTCATTCACCATAGTCTCCAGAAAAAAAAAAATGGGAATCAATCTAAAAGAGGTGAAAAACCTCTACAATGAAAATTAGAAAACAGTAAAGAAAGAAATTGAAGAAGACCTTAGAAAATGGAAAGTTCTCCCATGCTCTTCGATAGGCAGAATTAACATTGTCAAAATGGCCAGACTACCAAAAGCGTTATATAGATTTAATGAAATTCCTATTAAAATCCCAATGTCATTCCTTGTAGAAAGAGAAAAATAATCTTAAAATTCATTTGGTAAAATAAGAGACACAGAATATCCAAAGCAATCCTTAGCAAGAAGAGGGAAGCAAGAGGCATCACAATACCAGACCTTAAACTGTATTACAAAGCTATCATAACAAAAATGGCATGATATTGGCATCAAAATAGACATGTAGACCAGTGGTGCAGAATAGAAGACACACAGAGACAAACCCACATAAATATAGTTATCTCACACTAGACAAAGGCTCCAAATACATACATTGGAGAAAAGATAGTCTATTCAACAAATGGTGAAATCCATATATAGCAAAATGAAATTAAACCTCTATCTCTCACCATGCACAAAAATCAACTCAAAGTGGATCAACGACCTGGGAGTTAAACCAGAGACCCTATGCCTAATAGAAGAAAAAGTAGGCCCAAATCTTTAACATGTTGGCTTAGGACCTGACTTCCTTAACAGGATTCCTAAAGCATAAAAAATAAAATCAAGAATCAATAAGTGGGATGGATTCAAACTAAAAAGTTTTTTTTCTCAGCAAAGGAAACAATAACATGAAGAGAAAGTCTACAGAATGGGAGATAATATTTACCACATGCATCTCAGATAGAGCACTAGTTTTCAGGATATAAAAAGAACTCAAAAAAACTTGACACACACACACACACACACACACACAAAAAAAAAAAAAAAAAAAAAAAAAACCATCAATAAGTGGGATGGATTCAAACTAAAAAGTTTTTTTTCTCAGCAAAGGAAACAATAACATGAAGAGAAAGTCTACAGAATGGGAGATAATATTTACCACATGCATCTCAGATAGAGCACTAGTTTTCAGGATATAAAAAGAACTCAAAAAAACTTGACACACACACACACACACACACAAAAAAAAAAAAAAAAAAAAAAACCCTCAAATAACCTAATCAGTAAATGGACTAAGGAACTGAACAGACACTTCACAGAAAATATACAGTCGATCAACAAATATATGGAAAATTTTTCATCATCTCTAGTAATTAGAGAAATGCAAATAAAAACTACTCTAAGATTTCATCTCACTCTAGTCAGAAAGCCAGTTATCAAGAATACAAACAATAATAAGTGTTGGAGAGGATCTGGGGAAAAGGTACACTCATAAATTGCTATTGGACTTCAAATTGGTGCAATATCTCTGGAAAGCAGTACAGAGATTCTTTAGAAAACTTGGAATGGAACTACCCAGCTATCCCATTCCTCAGTTTACACCCAAAGGACTTAAAATCAGCACACTATAGTATCATGGTCACATCAATGTTTATAATAGCTCAATTCACAATAGCTAAGCTATGGAACCAACCTATGTGTCCTTCAATAGACGAATGACAAAGAAAATGTGGTGTATATATTTAATAGAATATTACTCAGCTTTGAAGAAGAATGAAATTACAGCATTTGCAGGTAAATGGATGGAGCTGGAGAACATCATGCTAAGTAAAATAAGACAATCCCCAAAAAACAAGGCCAAATGTTTTCTGTGATACGTGGATGCTGATCCATAATGGTGTGGGGGAAGAACAATGGAAGAATGGAGGGACTATAGATTGGGCAGAAGGAAGTGAGGGAAGGGGAGGGAGCATGGGGGTGAGACAGATGGTGGATTGAGACTGATATTATTACCCTGTGTACATGTATGATTGCATGAATGGTGTGACTCTGCATTATAACCAAAGAAATGAAAAGCTGTGCTCTTTTAGTGTACAAAAAGTTGAAATGCATTCTGCTGTCATGTATAACTAATTGGACAAAACCAAACCAAAACAAACAAACAAACAAAAAAACCCGAAAAACCACAATGAGATACCACTCACCTATCAAAAGCTATTATCAAAAAGAAAATAGATAACAAGGGCAAGAATGTGGAGAAAGGAAAGTCTTTCACAGCACTAGTGGGAATCATGTAAATGGGGACAGGCATTATGGAAAATAGTATGGAGATTCCTCAAAAAATTGAAACTAGAATTGCCGTATGATTCAGCAATCCCACTACTCGTTATTTACCCCCAAAGATCTGAAATCAGTTCCCTTAGGGTTGTGTGCATCCCCATTTTTATTGCACCACTATGCATAATAGCCAAGATACGAAATCCACCTAAGTGACTTTCATTTAACATGTGTCTGAGACACTGCCAACACCTGCCTCTTAGGAGGGTAGCTGGGAAGACCTTGGGGTCTGAAATTATCCTAATGTAGCTAACGTAGCTCAGTTTCCAAGTGAGCTGTAAGCAGACTGCTGACTGTTTGGGTCAAGTCTGCAGCTGCTGCCAGCTCCCTTCAAACAGTGCCTGCAGAAAACAGGAAACCGCGCACCTCTCTCTGAATAGAAGCAAGGGACTGCTCCAGGAAGCGAGGGCTTCCTCCAGTGTGGGTGAGGGGTGGGGGTCAGGCCAGGGTGGGGCTCCACCCTGTTCACTGGTGATTGTGGTTTTCTGTATCCCACAGGGAGCTCAGAAAGGCTCACAGAACAGAGCTCAGTGAGTTAGAGAACAAGTACAAAGAAGCATTGAAGGCAGAGAAGGCAGCTTCCCGGGGAAAACTAGGTACCCTCAGGGCCTGGGTGGAGGGAAGAGGGGCTGATAGTGTGGGTGTGGGGCCGGGGCTCCCATGGCCACGGATGGGTGGTAGCTAGGTAACCAGAGGTTTCTTCCTGAAGCTAAGGGGGGGGGGACTGAAAAAAGGAAAGATTATGTCTACCAAGGYCCTTCCTTTTCCTGGAAGGTCTGAGGATGTCCCTTCATCTTGAGTCTCAGTTCCTCATCTGGGAATTGAGAACAAAATATCTACCCTTGTGAGTATGAAGAGAATCTGAAAACACTTTGAAAAGCACATTCCTAAGTTCTACAAATATGACACTGTTACAATTTGTTTGTAACAAGTTTCCTGACCTGTATACCTGTACTGTTACAAGTTTCCTGACCTGTAACATGACAGGGTTTTATTCATTTCTTCCTGACACACTGCCACTGTATAGCCTTATAAAGCAGAGGGTTGTGCTGACCATTTGACCTCACTATTTACACTGCCCTCCTGAAGGGTGAAGTGTGTAGCCTCCTGAATTCTAGGTTCATGGACTCATCTCCACAGAGGGAAGAAGTAATGCTATAGGGCCTTCTTCCTTAATTCTGCTCCAAGTTTTTAAAAGATCCTATCTTACACTTTTCTCATTTTCCAATTTTCTCAAGAGAGCATGTATTGTTTTTGTAGTCATGGTAAACTAAGAAATGTTACCTAAAAGAGCAGCAGATACATGCCACAAGCTTTTGTTCCTCTTTTCCCCACAGATGTAGCTCAGCCCCTGGGATGTCTTTAAGACTTTGTTAACAAGAAGTTTATTTGTCAACAAATAATTTGTCCCCGGAAACCCCAGTTCCACAGGTGCAGGGTGGAGTCCAAGCAATTGAGTTTTGAAGGTTCAAGGGGAATTTCTGGGGTGCTTACAGGCCTCACAGCTGGGAGGAGGAGTTGAGGGTGGGGAGCTGTGCTCCAGAGCTCACATTTGAGTTTGCAATGTGCCTTTCAGAGGAGTGATGATGACCCTGTTGTTTTCCTTTGGTCCAGAGGAGATGGAAAAGGAGTATAAGTATTTGAAGAATATGTTTCATATGTATCAGGTGAGACAGAGCTCCTTGTTGGCTTCCCAGAGTGAGAGAAGTAAGTCTTATGCCTGGCTGACAACGTTGAATCCAGAGCTCTTGCCCGAAAAAACCATGTCCTGAGACTCCAGCATCCATAGACCTAAGTGGCATTTACTGTACCCAGGAAGAAGGATGGACCCAATGGCTTCCATGTATGACAGCCCAGACTGTAAAGAGGCCTATTGACAAATATGTTTGTGGTTATACCACAAATTATTAATTCTGGTATTCACTATTATTGTTCACTTAAAAAAAAAAAGTAATGGGAGTAACCAACAACAGTAACATTCAAAAGAAAGAAGTGTTACCATCCAAAGACAACCTCTGCAAAAATCTGTATTCTTTTAATGTATTAAATCTGTGTATAGTTTTGTACTCTCTTTTCACCAGGCAGAAACTTTTTTCTCCTTTTTATTGACTAGATATTATCCTAGTGAAAACATGTATTTCACTATTCCCCAAAGGTTGTTGTTTGAGTTGCTTCCAATTGCTTGATGAACTAAAAAATAAATTAATTAAAATTATATATATATATATATATATATATATATATATATATATATATAAAATCACTTTAAACATCTTTGATTCTGGCAGTGCTAAGTCAAAAGGATTGAATTTTTTTTTTTTTTTTTTTTTTTTTTTTTTTTACTAGAAATTAAGCTCAGGGGGGCACTCAACCTCTGAGCCACATTCCAGCCCTATTTTGTATTTTATTTAGAGACAGTGTCTCACTGAGTTGCTTAGCACCTTGCTGTTGCTGAAGCTGGCTTTGAACTCACGATCCCTCCTGCCTCAGCCTCCTGAGCCATTGGGATTACAGGTATATGCCACCGTGCTCAGCAAGGATGAATCTTGTTAAGGCCTTTAGTAGATTTGGCCAAATTGTAATCCTAAAAATCTCTGTCACACTGCACTGTACAAACTGAACATGGAGTACGTAGCCATCTCGGAGCATAACCCATCCACTTAATCAGCTAATCTGATGAAGGCCCAGAGTTAGAGTATGATGCCTTGCGAGGGAGATGAGTGGAACAGGAGATGGGAAGTGGACAGGGGAAGGGCAGACTCAAGCCCTCTTCCTATTTAACTGTTAAATATAGGAACCAACTAGTCCTGTTGCCTTGGGACTGAGAGTTTCCTGGGATTCCAGACTTTATTGCATATACCTGGGCAGTCCCAGGCAAACCAAGACAGGTGGTCACACCCATCAAAGGTGAAACACCAGCACTACCTCTGAAGCTCTATGTGCTACTGACAGTTTCAGTTTTGAGCTTATATCCAAAATCTGACCAGATTTATGACCAGATGAACTGTCCCAGGTTCCTAAATTTACTCTGTGTTTATTTCTGTCTGGGCCTCTCCAGGCCACTTGAACTCTGTGGCAACCACGTTGCCCACTAGCATGAAAATGAGGAGAGAGAACCCATCAGCCTGGTCCCAATGACTCCACGGGGAACTGATGCCCCAATGAGTGTGGCTCCTGATGCTTTCCCTTCTGGGAACTTCCTAGCATCATTGAGATGCCAGACATCACACTGTGTTCTAAGTCTTCACATTAACTCCAGGCATTTCTCTTCTTTCTTGTGTGCCACTGAAGAGTGACTCATGGTTCAGCAGGAGCTGACATGGGATTCTCCCACCTGGAGAGCCTACCTGTGTTCAGTGGAAGCCCAGTTCCCGCAGGGCAAAGGCTGCTCAGGCGTGCATGGTTCTCCCATGACCTTTTGGGTTCCACAATTCTCTGCTGGATGGGGATGGAATTTACTTCCCCTATGTCATCCAAGGAGGGGCCTGTCAGTGAGGGAAGCTGCCCAGGGCAAGGGCCTGTGCGTAAGGGGGCCTCTCTAGTGTGCATGGACAGCTTCTCCAGGGCTTAGGGCTCTTTTCCTCATGGTGCCTTTGGGACTCCACAGGACAGCATTTATGATGAAATAGAAGAAAAATGGTCAAAGCGGAAAGCAGAATGGGAGAAGGATGAGAAGTTGGAGCGGGAAAAGATCCTGCTGCAACAGAGTGAGTACTACAGAAATGTTGGGCTTGGGGGTGACAAGCTCAGCAGAAAACTGCCTTAGGCTTGGCCTTGACTTGAGGGACCTTGGGTTTACCAAGCGTGACGGCCCCACATCAGACTCCTGAATCGGAGGTGTTGTAGTCATCAAGAAAACAAAATGGCACACACTATGATCCCAGCAACCCAGGAGTCTGAGGAAGGAGGATGGCAAGTCCAAGTTTGAAGCCAGCCTGAACAATTTAGTGAGACCCTGTCTCAAAATAAAGAGTTGAGTTTGCAGCTCAGTGATAGAGTACTTGCCTAGCATGCGTGAGGCTCTGTGTTTAATCCCCAGTGCCACAAAACAAACCCCAAGCAAAAAAAATCTCCCATGTGATGAGAAGGGCAGGGTCCTTTTCAAGTTTACACACCTGAACTAAGGGGCCTGAGCTTGTATCTTTCAAACTCACTGGTTCCAAGTTTGCCTTGAATCATGGACTTGAACAAGTGTTGTGACCTCTAATAGGAATGTAGACTTAATATCTAGTTACAGGTGAGCCCAAAGCTCCAGGAGTACTTCAATTAGAATTTGAAATATTCATTTTGGGGAGAGAGCAGGGATGAACCATATTAATCCATTATAGCAAGAGCTTCCCTGTCCCCATGTCCCCCCAAAGGGAGCCATGTTTGATAAAGCTTTTGAATATGTTCGACGCTTAACCTAGAGTTTGGATCTGTAGCACTTCCCACAACACTGAGCTTCTTCATTCATGGAAGAATGTACAGAGCGATTGGTGGAGAGGAATAGTCGAAGGAGGAGTGGGCCCTCTACAAACCTATTCCTCTTATCTTACATTTATTCACTTTAAACCAAATTACTCATTCAAATGCAAAGACTCATCATTCTGGTGGGGACTCTGGCTGGGGTTGGGATGTGGAGCTGCTCCTGTGTGTTGCTCACCTCCCAGACTTCTACATTCTTACACAACACACATCTAGGTTTTGGAAAACTAGAATTTATGCATCCCATTCCAGGGTTTCCTTGTCAGTCCAGAGAATTCCTCCAGCCCCCAGAATTGCCACACAGAGGGAATTTGTGTTTGTTCCTTCCCCGCCTTCCTCCTTTGTAGTATTAGGGTTCTGGTGGCAGATTTTTTGCCCAGAAAAAAAAACAAGGTAAGCCAACCTCAGGGCTTTAGGACAAAATGAATGATTTTGCTGGAGAAAATCAGGTAAGCCAAGAGCTTTAAGACAAGAGTATTTAGGAATAATAAGCAACACATCCAAAATAAATAATGCACACAAGAACCACAGGTGGTGACAGTAAATCTCATATGGCTAACGTGATCAAGGACAACCATCATGATCACCTCTTCCTCAGGCATTTCCAGGTCAGAGTCCAAACACCAGGCTGAAAGGACTGGTCTGAAATTGCTTGTATCTTCAAATATTCTGGGTTTCTCTCTGTACTTGTTTTTCCATATTTACAAATAGATGTGCTTTTTCACACCTCCGCAGAACACAAGATGACAAAAAAGTTCGAGTTAGAGTCAGAAGAAGAAAAAAAGAAAATAACTGAATCCTACAGTGCTTCCATTGAGAACCTCATTATCGAGAAGGAGGTAGGTCAGGGAGCACTCGGTGGTTTCATGTGTGTGGTCCAGGCACCGTAGCTGTGCCTCCATAGTCAGGAATCTTTTTGTGTGACTGATGGGCAATCCTTGTCCTTACCCAGCTTTCCTGGAAATAAAATCAGGTAGGTTGATAGGCTTGCTCTCCTTTAGCTAGTCTTACTACTTGTTTGTTGAAATGAAAATCTTAAGTGATGGGAAATAACTGAATGCTAAATATACAGAACCTGAAATCCCCAATTTTACCAAAATGCCATCTCTGAATGTCTTTTTCATTCCTGACTATAGCAGAAGAGAAAAGGCATTGCTGCAAACCAAACACATTTGGTCACACAAGACTCTTAGTAAATAATTAAGGAGGTGAGGGTTGACTACTTCTGCTAGCCAAACCTCACTACTGCTAAAACCTTACTTCTGAGACCAGGTAATAATGAAAGCAGGTCTCAGGCCAAGTTTTGCTATACTTATGAACATTTACTCAGCAACTATGCATTAGCAAGCAGCCCCGACATTTCATGCCACCAGGTCTCTGAACTTTTAGATGCACGGAAGTTTTCCCAGTGACAGGCCTGATGGCATCCCAGAGGCAGAACTTGGCACCCATTATCATCTGCATCAGGCAACCAGAGCATGTCCTTAGCAGGACTCAGGGCCACCTGGGATCAAGTCCTAGGATCATGCTTAAGTGGATAGCTACAGACTTTGTTACATTCTTGTACCACTTTTGGGTAAAATGTTTTCCCAATATTTTGGATATTCTACATATTCCATTTTTGTGTTCATGTTTAACCATTATGCTAATCCAAAATCCACTAGGTTCACCAATAAAGTCAATTTCTGGTATTGACTATTATTAATGGACAAAACAACAATGAGATGGGGTCGGGTTTGCAAGTGTGTATAGGGCTCCTGAGGTCTGGAGGGCAAAATCATTGGAATAAGAAGTAGCCATTCCTTTTGTGGAGGGAGATTTGATCTGTATACATCCTTTCTTTCTTCTTCCTGTTATTTCTCTAGTGATGCTGGCTGTAAATAGATCTCTCTCCCTCTCTCTCTCATTGAGCTATCATTTATACTTAGCAAAACACACAGACTTAAGTGTGAAATTTGATAAGTTTTGACATTGTCTATTACAATGCCACAAAGATCTATTTTTTTAGAAACTTCATAATTTTAATTTTTATGATTTTATGATCCATTTTGAACAATTTGTGTATACAGAGTGAGGTAGATACCATGGGTCACTTTTTTACATATGAATATTTAGTTGTTTCAGCACCAATTTTTTTTTTAACCAAAAACAAAACAAGATTCCTTTTCCCATTGAGTTGCCTTGGGGTCATTGGGGGTGGGGAGTCAGACTCCATTCTGTTAAGACTAATTGTATTCACTTAGGCCCACAAACATAATGTAGTCTTACCTATTAGAGCTTAATACCAAATAGTTAAGATCATCTAACTTTAGTAATGTTTTCCAAGATTATTTTCCCTCATTCTTTGCATTTGAATATACATTTTAGAACTAGCTTGTCAATTTAGAATTAACTTCTCAAGAAAGCCTGTGGGCATTTTGACTAGGAATACATTGAAAATAAAGATCAATCCACGCAGAAATAAATCCTGAACAATATTGAATCTGTACACTAATTTAAAAGCTTTTGATAAAATCTAATTTATTTTATATTTGTCAATGTGATAGTGTTTAATATAAGATTTTCATTAGTTAACTTCAAAATGTCATATTATTTGTTGATAATGTGTGTATCATTATATTGATATATAAGCTTTAGTAAATATTATATTCCTGAATCCTCTACTGGCTTTCTTAATTCTCCAAAAGAATATCCAGAGCCAATAATATTGTTTTTAGGAACTCTTGAAACAACATGAAAGCGACACCCTGCAATTACAGGAGCTGAGGAAGACCAAAGCGGTAAGCTCTTCTGTTTCTTCCTATGGAACTGATGTCTGGCAAATATATCAGTGAAAGATACACTCTCTGTAAAATGGAACCTATGGTAATTTTTCCAAAACCCATAAAAGATGCAAGACCTAAAGCTAAGTTTGCTAGATGAAATAAGTTAAAAAGTGATCTGGAATTGTCCGTAAAACAAAAAATACCTGGTACCCTTTTCAAAGCCAGATTTGAGCACATACATCAACAGCATACCATATGGTCATCAATGTTGAATGAATTCTATTTCTAGCAAAGCTTAAGGAAGGATTTTGATTCATGAATGGCCATGTTCTTTCCTTTGAGCTCAGAAAAATACAGAACTTCCTTTGCCTACGGATCTCTGGTTCCAAGCTCTGGGTGTACCTCAGATGTGATAACTTTCTTTAAAAAAAAAAAAAAAAAAAAACTTTTTAGCCACAGATGGACACAGTACCCTTATTTTGTTTATTTATATGTGGTGCCGAGGATCGGACCCAGGGCCCCTCGCGTGGGAGGCAAGTGCTCTACCACTGAGCCACAAGCCCAGTCCCAAGTGATAACTTTCTTGTGGGTCACTTTATGGAGACATCTGAATAGAAGCTGTCCAGACCCACAAAAAAAAAAAAAAAAAAAAAAAAAAAAAAAAAAAAAAAAAAAAAAAAAAAAACCTGTGGTTCTTTCTTCTTTGAGAATTTAACTTGGATCTAGAATGGATATGTTTGAGATAAGCTTCATTTATGCCATTTCTGTTGCTATTAATTGATTTTTCTCCTCATTCGTGGTCATATTTTCTTGTTTGCTTGCCTGGTAGTTTTTGATGGTGCCAGCCACTGTGAAAGTTGCCTCGTTGGGCACTAAAATATTTTCATATTCCTTTAAATCTTCTTGAACTCTGTTCTGATACAGTTAAGTTACTTGGAAGCAGTTTCACTCTTTCACATGCAATGCATCAGCCTTAGCATTGATTTTATGCTTTGCTGATCTGAACTGAAGCAGTCCAGGGCAGAGCTGGATTCCCGGTTCCTGAGGTAACACCTTTCCAAATGCTCTCCCAGCGCCCTTTGCATTAGACGGCTTCTTCTGCTCTGGATGGTGAACTGCTCCCAGGACTGTGTTGGCCCAGGGATTATCCCTCTTGCTCTTTTCTTTCCCCAGCTTCATCTCCTTCTATTTCTTGCCTCCATCATTCCACCCCAGCAGCACTGAATTCCTTGCCGTTTCTTAAAAGGCCAGGATGCTCCTACCTTGGGTCTTTGTTCTTGGTGATCTCTCTTCCTGAAAAGCTCTTTCTCAGAAATCCACATGGCTAACATTCTTTCCTTCTTCTGGTCTTTCCTCAAATACCACCTTTTCAGGAGCCACCCTATTTAAAGGCCTAGTTCCCTGCCCAATACTTCTTGTGACAAATACCAGGAATGTCTCTCCTGGCCTGAGGTGAGGTCACTTCCTCCCTGAGCCACTCACCTCTGGCTTTCACAAGTGTCTGCTTCTCCCCCACTGGTCACTTCTCCATCCTCTTTGTAGGTCCTCCTCCTCCACCTACGTTCTAAGCCCTGGAAAGTTCAGGGCTTGGCCCTGGGTTCTGTTTCTTTTCCTTCTCGCCCCTTTCTCCTTGGGGAGTTAATTATTCACACAAATGTAAATGCCATCTCTGTGCTGCCGACCAGATGGACTCCTCCAGCCCCGGCCCCTCCTCTGAGACCCAGGCTGCATATCCAACTGCCCATTTAGTGTTTCTACATAGGTGACAAAGGACATCTCAAACCTCATGTGTCCCATTCCACACTCTTGATTTTCCTCCCAGGATTTGAGCTCTCAAATTGTAAATCTCCCAGCTGTTCAAACTGGAGTCAAAGTCGTCCTTGATTTCTTCCACTCTCCCTCATCCATGCATCAGCATCAACCACTCCTCCATAGAGCACTCTATAAATCCACTTCTCTCCAGCGCTGCCGTCTCCCCCAGTCCATTATTTCTCACCTGAACTACTGTAATACTCTTCTCCTTGCTGACCTTGTTTTCTACCCTGTCCCTTCCAACCCATGTTCCACAGAGTAGTGAGATGGATGCAAACAGTGAGAACCAATATAAACACTCCTCTGCCTAAAACTTTTTGACCCCCACCCCCCATTATTCTCGAGTTACCATGAATCCCAGGTGTGGCCTGGCTCCTCTGTGTCTCCTCACCGTGGCCCACTCTCCTACTTGCGGTCTCTATTCCAACCCTACTAGTGTTCCTTAAGGATTCCTACGCTTTTTGCCTCCTAAGGACTTTTGCGCAGTTTTAGGTTTATAGAAAAATTAGGGCAAAAATTACAGGTTCCCTTAAGCTACCCCTCAGAGTTCCACCTATTATCAACATCTTGTACTAGGATGATATATTAGTTTCAATCTACCAGTTGATGCTAATGCATTATTATTAACTGAAGGTCCATAGTTTACATTCTTCATTCCTTGAGACATACAGTCTTTGGGTTTTGCCTAATATGTCATGTCATGTATCTATAATCACTGTGTCATACAGAATAGTTTCACTGCCCTAAAAATTTACCCTCTGCCCCACCTACTCATTTCTCCTTTCCCCTTCCAACCTCTAGAAACCACTAATCTTTTTACAGTCCCTAGAGTCTCACCTTTCCCAGAATATCCTATAGTGGGAATCAGTAGTAGGTTATTAACAAAAGACTCTTCAGTGAATGAATGGCGGATTGCCATGGTAACCATCTGTTTGAGCTCTGGTGAGAACTGGCTCTGTGGCAGTGATGGTTGTGGCTGAAGGGGAGGGCATGTAGCCCGGAGAGACAGCAAATGGCCAGAATTTACTGGCCAGGGGTGAGTAGCTAAGGTTGTTGCTCTGCGTTGTAGTCCAGGTTCTGTGGAGAAGAGAATAAATAGGTAACATGGGCTTGGTATCCTGAAACAATTTCTTCTTGTGCAGATCATGGAGGAAGAGTTGCACGCACAAGCTATTATTCTAGAGTCACTTAACGCGCACCTCTACCAAACGCAGATGGAACTCCAGAAAGAGGTGAGTCCTGGCTGGAGAGAGGACAGGGGCTGGGAGAGGAACCCGGGGGTCTCTGCCATTTGGCTATATGGCTTCATGCTGGGTGGCTCTGGGGAAGACTGCTTTTAACTTTTGTCTTTCCAGAAAGCCACAGTGGGAAATCTTGAGAAGATGTTCCAGATCAAGCTTGCTGAAGCTAATGAAAAGCATAAGCACACCATAGAGAGCCTGACAGAGGAAAACCTTCTTCTAAGGTGTGGATGCTGTTGGCTGAGCTCTCTTTAGGAGTGGGAGGGCATGTGAGTGAGGAATAGGTTCAGAAGATAAGCCAGGTACTGCTTACTGATGTCAAGACAAGAGGGAGGTTATGTCACTGAGCTTGGACACAGTTATCTGCAGAGGCCAGAGTTCTTTTGAGATATGTCTGGACTTCTCTCTCTTGCCTGTTATGCAAAATGACACAGGAAGTGCATCAATTTCTGAGTTTTTTTCTGTTCTGTGACTGAGGGTTGTTTGTCAAGTCCCTCTTCTCTGAAACACTCGGTGGCTTTTGTATTAGACACAGCTGCTTCTGGTTGCTCTGGAAATCAACTTCAGAACACAGAAATCGTACTGTTACCTGAAGAGACATCTTAAATCGCTCAAACAAATTTTAGTCAAACTTTACTGAAGTTACTTGTTGCATTGATTCCATAGAAAAATGCCTCATTTGGCAATTTGGTCACCCAAATATCACATTTCACTAAATTCAAAACCACTGCAAGTGATGAGAGACTGACCCTACCCACACACCTGTACCCCCTTCTATCCTTTGAGTCTGTCGTGATATATCCTTCCTTTTACAGGCAAAAGATTGCCAAGAATGAAGAAGAAGTTTATGAAAGACAATCTGGAACCTTGCCCTCTTTAGCCAGTTATGAGTATAATTATGATTATGACATTGAAAACTGCAACAAAAAACAAGAATCATAAACAAAAAGTTGTTCTCCTTGGCCAAAGATGGTAGGAACACCATCCCTAAAGCCTATGGAACTCCTGGGGGTGGGGTGGGCGGAGAGGGTTTCTTGAGAAAATGCATATGATTAGTTGAGTTCTTGGGTTGTTCTGACTGTGTTTTTGTCTTTTCACAATTTGCTTTTTTTCTGAATGAGAATGTTTAAATTCTCAATTGCAGAGCTTCTCATCGACTCTTCATTAAAAATAGATGTTCTCTATCCTGAAGCCGATCTCTCTCTGGGCCTTGTACTCTTTTCTCTTGTGCATTTTACACATTTTATTAGAAAGAGACTGATTTGAAGGCACCCTTCCTATCAAATGTTGACTGTATGTTGGGCTACATCTTTTGTCCCCCTCTCTAGCTAGCAAGACAGATAACTCTTTGACTTGACTTCARTACTTTTTTCTGTTATACATGTGCCTGCATTCTCCAACCTTCCAACCATGTTCCCGAACCTATCACCTAGGAAGCATATCTGAAGATTCTTGCTGCCTTCTCTAAACCATCGCCAGAATTCAAATGCCCCCCCCCTCAGGGTAGGCAATATAAATCAACGAAAATGTCTGGATGTAAGGTAAAATGGTCACACTGGCATGGTGATAGATGGCCATTGACAGCAGCCCCTTGGAGGTGCCTGGGTGGGGATGGAGAGAGGACTGGGGAAAGCAGAGCCACACCTGGCTGGAGAGAGGTGCTTCTCAGACCTCTACGATTGCTACCACACAGTTACCTGGGGTCAATGTTATCAGACATTCTCAATTTTCAAAAAAAGATATTATGGGTTTTATGTGATATCTCCTGGTTTTTAAATGTTGGCTGTAAACGTTAAAAACACAGCCTGTGGGACCCAATATTGGGAGACTCAAGTAAAACAAGTCTATGACCGGAATGTTTTCTTTTTCTTTTTTTTATTTTAAATTTTTAAAATTTGTTTTAATTAGTTATATATGACAGTAGAATGCATTTATGCACTTTGACATATCATACATAGATGGGATATTTCATATTTCTGATTGTACATGTTGCAGAATCATATTGGTCATGTAATCACATACACACATACAATAATAATGTCTGTTTCATTCCATTATCTTTCCTATCCCCACATCCTTTCCTTCCCCTCCCATCACTTCTCTCTACCTAATATAAGGTAACACTATTCTTCCCTGGTGCCCCCCCACACTTTATTGTGAATTAGCATTCGCATATTAGAGAAAACATTTGGCATTTATACACAATGGAGTATTACTCTGCATTAAAAAATGACAAAATCATAGAATTTGGAGGGAAATGGATGGCATTAGAGCAGATTATGCTAAGTGAAGCTAGCCAATCCCTAAAAAACAAATGCCAAATGTCTTCTTTGATATAAGGAGAGTAACTAAGAACAGAGTAGGGACGAAGAGCATGAGAAGAAGACTAACATTAAACAGGGATGAGAGGTGGGAGGGAAAGGGAGAGAGAAGGGAAATTGCATGGAAATGGAAGGAGACCCTCAGGGTTATACAAAATTACATACAAGAGGAAGTGAGGGGTAAGGGAAAAATAATACAAGGGGGAGAAATGAATTATAGTAGAGGGGGTAGAGAGAGAAGATGGGAGGGGAGGGGAGGGGAGGGGTGATAGTAGAGGATAGGAAAGGCAGCAGAATACAACAGACACTAGTATGGCAATATGTAAATCAATGGAAGTGTAACTGATGTGATTCTGCAATCTGTATATGGGGTAAAAATGGGAGTTCATAACCCACTTGAATCAAAGTGTGAAATATGATATATCAAGAACTATGTAATGTTTTGAAAAACCAACAATAAAAAAAAATGTTTTTTAAAAACAGCAGAATAAAATAGTGCCACAGTCTGGCTGGGCACAAATCACGAGCCACTGAAGCAGGAACAAACTTTATTAAAAAATTAAAAAAGAAAAAGAAAAGAAAAATTCAGAAAATAAAATTTAAAAATACTCTTAAAAACATGAAATGAGCTGAAAGAAAAAAAATGTATACAAATATATGAAATACTAAAATGCTTCATTAGCAAGAACAGCGAATCCTACAAGCATATGAAGGTATGTGAAAGAGCAACAGAAAATGAAAAAAAAAAGGCTGAGGATGTAACTCAATAAGAGAGCCTTTGCTCTCTTTTTGAGACAGCTAATATATAAAAATTTAATTTTTCAAATTTAAATATTTTGAAAGTAGTGTATTAGATGGCTTGAAAAGAGAGGAATTAAGTTCTTATTTACTTTTAAGTAGTACTTTTTAATCTTGTTAAAAATAGTTAAAATTATACCATAACTGTAAATGTCTAATAGTGGGTGATATTGCATAGCCAGGACTTGAATTCATATAAGAATTAAAATTTTCTTGATTCAAATGCATAAAGTGAATTGATTATAGTAATTCTTTGTATGGACAAAATGGTTTTGATATAATAATTGAAGATAATGTTGTATATTTAAAAACACAATTTTTTATGAAAAAAATACTTAGTTCCTCATTCCCTCTCTGCCTTAAAAAGAAAAGTGCAGTTAATACTTTATAATTAACTAACACTAATTATAACAAATAAAAAAATACTTAATAAATAAAGCATAGTGTTACACAATGATGTAACATCAATCGAGAGGAAAGAAGAGTTTTTTCCTTAATGTAAAAGTGGGCTGTGGCATCTGTTTCCCCATGTTCTTCTTATCATCCTTATTGCTCACTTCATAGTTCACTTCAGTCAGGATGGTGAGAATATCATCGCCTCTGAAAAACAGAGCATAACATATGATGATTCACGGGGTGGGGCGGGGGGACAGGACTGACAACCCATGTCATCTGCTGTGCTGAGGGAGAGACCTATAGCTCCCTCTCTCAAATATCAGGCTTTGGAAACCATAATCTGCTAAACCAAGACCTACCATAGCTTTCCAGGTAGATGAGTGGTCTCAAGCTTGATAACTTCACCTTCAGCTTATTTGGAATCTCTACTAACCATCAGAAACCTCAGGGCCAGTACTGGATTTGATTTCTTTCCCTTCCAGTCTGTGTATCTCTCTCACTACTCCATGGACTGTGTCACTCAACCCCCACAGCATCTCAATGCCTCTGAATGCCTTCGGCTTACACTCAGCATTGCTTCTGCAAATTCATCTACAACACAGTCTAACATCTCCTGCAGCCCTCTCTCCCCCTCCATCCCCAGATATCTTAGCAGTTTTCTTGGTCAACCTCTTCATCTATCTCTGTAGCAAACACCAGAACCTTGCAGGACTCCTGGCCTAAGTTACAAAATGAAAACCTCACATTGGTGCTGTGGTTTGCTTTTTATATACCATGGGAGATTCTCACTCTTCATACTCTGAAAGCCTAATGAGAAATAGGTCTAGAAGGAATGTGTTAGGATCCCTCACGGTTCATCTGTCAGCTTTGCACACGTGGGTAAGCTATGACATTTGARACTATAACTAAATGAAGCCTCTGATATAATAAACAAGGGAAGAATATTTTCCCACATCTTGCGGCTTTAAAGCAAGCCAGGTGAGGGGGGAGACACGAGAGGCTCCATCTCTTTGCTACTTATCTCCCACAATGCATCAAGGGTTTGAGGTGAGCTAGCTATTATGGAACTTTTGATAGAGTTGGAGAGTGTTAAACATTGACATGGTTACTGCCTTCTTGGCAAACTTAACAAAACTAGCTGAATCAGCTCAATCATGATTTTTTTTTTTTTTCCTTAAAGACACAGAGCTGGACCACATGCCTATTGCCTTTCCAGCTCTGTAATACTGTGGTTGTCCTTTGAGATGCCTAATCAAGGAAACCTCTCAGTAAGTGTATCAGTTTTCCCATCTGTGAAAGAAGGATATTAACACTCGCCATTTCTCTTATTTCACAGCTGACTTGGGAAGTAGGATTTTGTAGTCATTTAGACATTTTAGAGGTAAATGGAAAATCACTCCTCTTGATGCTTCTTCAATTAATACTACCTCACCCATAAAGCTTTTTCTAAAAGGCCCTGGCTATGCACATATAGTAGTGGTGATGGGGAAGGGGAGCAGGTAGTATAACACTGAGGAGGGCTGGATAGGCAAACCTTACCGAGGACATCTTTCTCTCAGTCTCTGGCAAAGGGACTGGATATACCAGGTTCCCTCCATGGGATTTCGATAGGAAACACAGTTGCTCACAGTGGCCATCCCCAACAGAAAGTCAGCTTCATCTGGGATATAACTCTTTTGAAATGATAAATCCATCTCTAAGTAGGGGTCCTTCTGCTTTGAGTCGGTTTCAACAAGTACACCTTTCTGGTAGTTATCCCCTTGACAAGCCTGAATAAAAAAGACTTTAGGTTTCCCAGCAAGGGAAGGGCACTTTGAACCAGTGAAATAAGAGGTCAGCTCAAAGATGGAGACCTTCTGTCCATCAGTGCCATAGATTATGCCCTCGTCTCCATGCGAGAGGATACAGCAGATGAAACAATCTTTATTATTGTGGTCTTCACTTTGGTAGAATTTTAGAACTTCACAGATTTCCTTGGCTGTAGAATCTTTGTAACATACTATTTCAAAATGAAGCTCCTTAAAGGTCTTGCTCAAAGCCTCTGAAAAGTGAAAGAAGAAAAGTCATATCACACTACAGCAATTCATTGCCACGGCCCAGAGTGAAAAAGAATTGGAGGGATGTGATATTGATAGATAAGAAGTTGAGCCAAAAGTTCAAGAAGGAGAACATCTATATGAGTAGGTGAATTCTATAGACTTTTAATATTTATTGCCACCAGCAGAGAACATTTCCAAACCATAAAGCAAATGAGAAAGGGGTGAGTGCTATTTTCGGCCAGTTGCCTTTTCTGAAACAGTTTATAGGATGAGTAAGCTGTTATTTTGGCTTACTACCAAATCAATTTAAGAGGTGATTTTATTTCCTATATAATCATACAAAAGAGAATTTTTGAATAAAAATCTATATTCATTTAATGCTGTACACTCAAAATTAGTTACACTTATCAAAATAGGAGATACGAATAAAATAGAACTAAAAGACCTATTACAAAAACAGTTATCCTCTATTCTTCTCTGTTACCCAGTCATATGCCATGAAAGCAACCACTTTTAGGTTTTAAATACTTTAATATTAGCTGCCATTTTGTAATGAATTTGAATTCACTACTATTAATTCATTTATAAATTTTAGACTTTTTTATTAATACTTATTTTTTAATTGTAGTTGGACACAATACCTTTCATTTATTTATTTATTTATGTGGTGCTGAGAATCAAACCCAGGGTCTCGCACTTGCGAGGCGGGTGCTTTACCACTGAGCCACAACTCCAGCCCCGAATTTTAGATTTTTTCTATGTGAATTATTATGGAAGGTAAGCACATAGTACTCTTGTATAATTTTTTTATAATTTTGGGTTGAATTCATAATAATATATATGTTACCAGGACAATGTCAACATCAAGTTTTTAAATTATATTTCCTTTTTTATTATGATTTTTGTCTTTCCCAGAGTTAATAATTGTATTACTTTTTAAATTTGCTTTGTTTCCCATATGGTTAACTTTTTTTTTTCAAATACACTAACAGATAAAGTCAGTCTTTCACCATTTTCAGACTGATTGTCTGATTCATTTTAATTTTTCTGAAGAACATTTCATCTCGAGCACTACATCTTCTTTCTCTAATCCTAACTAACTGTTCCTTAGGCTTGATAAATTTCTCTTCTCCTGGGAAATCTTTAGGTCTTTTCCATAATAGATTCACTTTTTCCTGAACTTATGACTTCTTCTTTATTGATTTACTAACTTGTTTTGCTAGAGTATATCTACTCCTGCATAAAGAATAAATTTTTTGAGCCCTTAGATGAGCTTTACTTTTACTTTCATATTTTTTGTAGTTTAGCTAGATACAATACGCTTTTTCCACAAATATTTTTCCTCAGAATTTTGAAGGTATTTCTTCAGTCTTATAGCTTTCAGTGTTCCTATTAAGAAGTTCACTAACAGCCTGGTTCCTGATACTTTATGTATTTGACTTATTTTTTTTTCTCTCTAGAAGTTTCTAGGATGAAATATGCTTTGGTGTGAATCTTTCTTAATTCATCAGGTCCTTTTGGTCTGCAGACTATTAACCTAATTTCTGGAAATTTCCATTTCCCCATTTTCTCTGTCCTCTTTGGAACTCTGATTATTAGAGACTGGACATTCTTAACTTTTCTTCAAATTTTCTTTTCCTTTGGTTCCTATTTGTCACTTTTTTTGTGTGTGTGTTTTTTGTCCTATTTTCTGAGACTTTATCTTCTGCCCTATCTGTTCTTTTGAATTTTTTTTTATTTCTGTGCTCATATGTTGAATTTTTAGTAATTCTTGTTCTGTTTCTTTTTCATAACATCTTGTTCCTCTATGAATATTTTACTAAAAATATTAAATACAGTTTTAAAAATTATTTTATATGTGTGTATAAATATATACTAAAACAGATATTATACATATTATATTATATTATTATGTATTATTATATTATATATTATTATATTTTATATATTATTATATATTATATAATATTATAATATATTATATATAATATCTGTTTTAGTTATATATTATATATAATAGTTTTAGTTATATAATATCTGTTTAAGTTGTGGATGGACACAATACTTTTATTTTTATGTGGTGCTGAGGATCAAATCCAGATCCTTGTGCATGCTAGGCAAGCGCTCTACCACTGAGCTACAACCCCAGCCCTTAAATATAGTTTTTTAAGGATTTCCTTTTACCCAGCATCATCTTTGTTTAATTTATATTTCCATTTCATTTTTTTTCTTGTTTGTATTGCTTGTTTTATATTAGGGGTGTTATCCATATGCCTTATAAAACTTGGTTGTCCATTAGTCTACTAAAAAGTTAAGCAAAAGCTCTTCATAGGCATGGTTTGTTTACTGGTGGACTTCATAGCAGAGTGTTTGATTAGGAAACTTATCATTCCATTAGGAGACCCCCAGATATCATGATTTATACATCTTTTATCTAGGGCTTTCAGCTTCTCCAAAGGAGAATTCATATTTTCTACCAATGTTTTTGGAACCAAGATAGGTTAGAAATCTGATTTCATGCCATCAGTAGGTTGACTTTTGTTTTTCTCTTCCTTTCTTCCATACTTCACTGCTTTCTTTGCTGAGCCTGGTATCACTAGATCTTAGAGACTCTCTGGTTCATTTTTATGAGAGAATAAACTTCCTGTTCCTTATGATGGTGGAATAGGAACAGTTGTTGGCTCCATGAGATGGAACTGGGGCATGTACATGTGGGGTGGTGATGAAGAAAATAACAGCAAAGTTCACAGGACACTACAGCAGAACAGAAAGAACATCTCAGGAAAAATGACACAGGCAGCTGCATCTATTTTTACTCATTAACACAGAATGTAATAAGCCCAGGAAAATATAAAACAGGACATGTGATCTTAAATACCCGTCACAGACTGGGTTCTGTGGGCCAGATATAAGAAAAATGRACTGCCAGAAATAGAATCAAATGAAATTTAATAGAAAAAAATTAATATTCAATGAATAGAAATCAAAGATCTAAAATGTTTTTTCCAAAACCAAATATATAATGATAACTGATGTAATCAATGGCCTGAAATTCTGACTTTAAAACCTTAAATAGATTTGCTTAAATAAGCAAAAATGATATTTTTGTTAAGAATTCACAATTTCTTCTACATTCAGTAGCACAACTCTTTTTTCTTTTTCTTTTTTTATTTATTCTAATTAGTTATACATGACACCAGAATGCATTTTGATTCATTATATACAAATGGAGCACAACTTTTGTTTTTCTGATTGTACACGATGTAGAGTTGTACCATATGTACGGTCATACAAGTACCTAGGGTGATGATGTCCATCTCATTCTACCATCTCCCCTGCCCCCATTCTCACTCTCCACCCCTCCTTCCCCTATGTCCAAAGTTCCTCCATTCTTCCCATGCTCCGCCCCTTCCCCATTATGGATCAGCAGCCATTTATCAGAGAAAACATTTGGCAGTAGCACAACTTTTATAAATTCAATACCAATATAGATTTTCATACTAAGGCAATCTTTTTCACCTAACACACTCTACAGAAATGCTATTCACTTAGTTGACTTAAAAGTAAAGCTCATTGCTGCTCCTCTTTGTAAGATTCTAGTAAGACTTGATAGTTTACCATTCTACATATGCTTATGCTGTGATTTATAAAAACAAATTTTATACAAAGCAAAAAACTAACAAATATATAAGAATGTTCTTCACCTCCACAAGAAAATATGTTTAAATTCATATTCTTGAAATATGTGGCTCTTTTGGTACAGCTTTTGTTTTCCCCCTTTTGATAAAATTAAAAAAAAATAGATGTAAGAAATTTTCACTTCTCTTTTGGATTCTACTGTACCTTCATCCAAATCTGATCCTTTCCTATCCTTAATGTTGTGGAGCTTGGGCATATCCTTCCGTGCCATGCTAAAATCATAGTTGTTGAAGATCAAACAGTATCCCCGAGGTTTGTTTTTCATTTGGTAAACTTTGTCTGATGTCTGGAAAACAAAAACCCAACCCAGGCACTTTACTCTGCAAGTCGAACACTGGCGATATAAACAATCAACTTTCCAGGAAGAGGGTGGGCTCCCCAGGGGGCCCCAAGTCACCCCAACTTGGAGCCATTCCCCTGAAGAACTAGTTCCCTACTGTTCTCACACAGGATCCCTCAGACTTCTGCCCCATCGATAACTGTAAAGTCAGTGTACCTGGGCTGCATGAGCACTTTGCACATACATTCATATATTAATACCATCCTCATGTCTTTGAGGCAGAGAACATTGTGCCCACGATTGGGATTTAGAAACTTTTGAGAGCTCAATCCAGAACTGCTAAAAATGACTGTCTTTGGGCTGCTCCACCCTGACTGTGGACGTATTGGCTATCCACTCATCTCATCTGCACTTCTTGGCTAACAGCTGAGAGCCTGCCCATCAGGTGGATACAGTATAGTCCCAGGATGTTCGAAGCTGATATAACCCAGCTCTCAGGACCACTGTAGCTGGTGGAGAGAGATGTTGGGGTTATGTTGTAGGTTAAGAATCCAGACTGTATGCCTGACAGTACTGGCCTGAGGTGGCCCTGTGTGTTGCTTATTTTTATAGGGCTATTTCATTACTGAGATTCTTAGCATTTGGTTGCATATCTGTGTAACCCATTGAGGTACAGAAAACAACCCCTCCCCAGGTTAGGAAACCAAATTTCTGCTTCTACATAAGACTTCAGGCAATTTACCCAATGTATTAGGATCTTAGCAAGTTTACTAAGATATCAAGTATTTTATTAAGTAGTTAAGTATATTCAGTATTTACTATCGTGTATGCTAAGTATTTACTAATATACTGGGTACATTTACAATACTAGACAATATTAAGATTATAGACTATTTGATGAGAACAATGCTTGCAGAGCATTATTTTACTTTAAAGTGCCACATCACTGTGGTTAATCCTTGATTTTCAGATGGAGAGAGTTCTGGTAATTTTCACAGAGCCCACACTTCTAAATAGTTACTCTCAAGCCTAAATCAGGTGTTCAGGGTCTCCTGTGCTTCCTGCCACAGTGAGGAGTAGTGAATGGGGAAAGGCATTAAAATGCATTTGGTGAATTGTTGAAGTTACATAAGTACAACTTATGTTGTCTAGAGAGGAAATTTTTCTTCTGGGTCAAAAGCACAAAGATATGACTAGATTATGAGTACTTGTTGCTTACTCCAAATCATAAAAGAAAACCATTTTTTAAAGGTCATGCTTAAAGGAAAGACTTTGCTTGTTCCAGGTGTGCTAGGCCCCTACCCCAAAGCATCCCCCATTAGGTTGGCATGGCATCTAGAAGATTAGATAGGAGGCCTCCCACCTTCTAGCTAGTCCAATGCCTCTGTCTTTCATTTTAAAATAAAAATGTAATACACTGGAATTGGAGAGGTCACATTTTTAAAATGAAATGACATTTTTAACTTGTCCTTTCATGGGATTTTTTTTCCCTACAATTCTCAGATTTTTCATTTTCTACCCTTAATTGGTTCATTTGGCAGCTAAAAACAAAACAAACAAACAAAAAAAATATAAGATCTAGAATCTGCAATGTAAAAGGAAGAAGGATTTGGAGGTGTCCATGTACCTGTGAGTCACTGTCCTGTTCTCCTGGAGAGTCCGACAATGTCAACATCCTCAAGGACTCCACCCCTGCAAACAACAGAGAGACATGACTGGAATGAGGCATGGCAGGAAAGAGACTTTGGTAAAGAAATGTGTATCATCTTGGACAATGGTGACCAAGAAGTGTCATAATTTTTATGTTTCCACATTGCTAGGTTGAGCTCTATGGTATTTGTGAAATATTCATTTATAAAACACTGGCACAGGATGAATTGACTCAAAAGTACTACTTAATGTACTCTTCAAATCTTAAGCCCATGCAGACACGGGAAGTAGGGAAGAACTGGATGCATAGATATTACTCAGAGTAACCTTTATAAAGATGCTTCAAAATGCATTTTTCATGCCCGCGCACTGGCGCGCATGCGCACACACGTAAAGAGCCAGGGTGAAAATGTAACAAATATAAAATATTAACAGTAGTAATATTTAGGATGTGATGAATCTCAGCGGGTCTTTAAAAATTTTTTCTCTGAATTTAAAATCATTCTCGGTGAGTACGTATAATTTTTGTAATGAGAAAGTAATTAAAAATTTGAAGGAGATCCTGAAGAATTCCTTCTGCTTGTTTAGTCTAACTTCCCCAGGTAGGAAAGAGACAGAGGATTGGAAAAATATAATTTGGCTGAAACATCCACAAGGGAAGTCAGACAGATGATGGGGTGCTTTAGTGGAGGGCAGAACGGGGAGCCCGGTGACTCAGCGGGGGATGGAGGGGAATTAATCACACTTGGCCAAGAGGTCTCTGACCTGGACAACAAATTAAAAAAAAAAAAAAAAAAAAAAGGTTGTTGAAAAAGGAAGTGACTTAATCAACAAAGTCATTTAAATCTAGCTACCAGTGCAAACCACAGGCAACACATGTCAGTGGGAGGTGCTAGGAGAGAGAAGGGGGAAAAAAAGAAGCAAAAAAGTTAAGTCCAGGACTTATGGCAAACATGCCAGTCTGGGGCTGCAAGGTCTGTCAATGTGCAGAGAAGGTGACAACAAGTGACCACCAAACTTTCATCCCAATAACAGGAAGCAGTAGAAAGAGGTATGATGCTATAAGAGGGTAAATTAACTCTGCACATCTGCAAGCATTACCATTTGAAAGTGAATCTGTTCTTCTTTCAGGACTCATTCTTCTCTCTGAATTAAGAGAAAAACACACCCCAAATATGTGGTTAGATCTGCTTCAGACAGGAATTTATGAATTTGAGAAAATGATTAGCTGATTCACAGTGTCAGGTTATTTTTACCTCTGCTTAATTCTTCATAATTCTCAATGATCTTCAGCAGGCTCTTGTTGATTTGTTCACAGATATTTTTCAGGGTTCCCAGGTTTCTCTTTCCTAGGATGAGCTTCTTCTCCATCTCTATGAAAATGTCGAGCAAGCTCTAGGGGACAAGAAATAAAGTGGGAAGACTGGATTGAGTCATACTAGTTTTTATAATATATATTTTATTATATATATATATATAATTTTATTTTATATATATAACTTTTTATTATATATATATATATATATATATATATATATATATATCACTTTTTCCAAACCAAGGATTCACCCTTACTTCCCAGGCAGACCCCTGAGAGTGCATGCTGGTCTCCTGCAGCTGACAGGCACCTAGGGAGGCCATGTCCTCTGGCCCAAAAACACAGAAGTGAGAGAATAGAAGAGAGACCATGTCAGATGTCCCCAGATCCCCAGGTTCTATGCTCAGATTGCCTGTGGTTGTCTTTATGTATGAACCAGGCCTATGTGCATTGGCTGAGACACAGCAGCTTGGTCAGTGACACAGTGACAGCTCTGGGACTCCCTTATACCCCGATGTAGTATAATCTACCTCCAAACCTGAATACACACACACACACACACACACACAAATACCACACACACACACACACACACACACACACACACAGAAACATGCACAGACGGGGAAACACACACATAAACAGAGACACAGGAAAAAAACAGAGACATACACACAGACACTGCACAGAGACACACACCACACATGGATATACATATCATACATATAAGAGACATGCAATACATATAACAGAGATACATACACCACACACAATATACCCAGAGATACCACACAGGAATGAAGAAGTGGAGAAAATGTCTCAGACCACCACTTCCTTCCTGCCTCTGCCTGGTCCCACACAGGGTCCTGATGCACAGCCGTACTATTCCCCTGGCTCCCGAGTCTGCTCGCTCCTGAAGATTAATGTGAGCAGCACTCACAGTGCAAAGGCATGAGATCTACAGCACGCCTGCCGACGGCTTTCCTCTCTCTGGTTAGGAACTAGAATTCAGGTTGCTTTTATCAGAAGAGYCCCTCTCTTTAGCCTCAGAAGTCCCCAGTGGCTGACCAACTCTCAGGACTGCATCTCCAGACAATACCAGGTCTTACCATGTCGTCATCCAGCTTACACTTGGAGATATCCTTGCTCAAAAGAAACTTAAAAGACTYCAATTCCAGTTTGTTTACATCTTCTGAAATCTGAAAAAGCATGACCCTGCGGTGGGAAATGGAGACACTTAAGAAATGTTTCCTTAGATCCTTTCAAATTTGCTATGTGGAGTCACAAGGRACTTGACTCAATGGCCTCCCTCCCAAAAAATCTGAGACATGATTTAGGAACTGAGTCCTGAGAGAAAGGCAGGTAGACACACAAGTCTACTGACTTGTGCCTGCCCTGAACAATTAAAAGTTCCATCAACTTTGTCCTTTGGTTTATTCCAGTTAAATGCATCTTGTTTTTCCTTTGTCTTTCACTCTAAGAACAAGATCTCGTTGCAATACAAAAAAGCATTGACTTTTGAAAATGGTACTTTCTACTCTGCATGTTGGATTACCACTTCCTTCATCAAACTGGGCAATGTCCTCTCAGTCTTTCCTTCAGGAGAAGAGCCAGCCAGGTACAGTGGCACACGCCTGTAATCCCAACAGCTCAGGAGGCAAGAGGTTTGCGAGTTCAGAGGCAACCTCAGAAGTGAGGCCCTAAGCAACTCAAAACTCTGTCTTAAATAAAATATTTTAAAAGGGCATTGGATGTGGCTTGGTGGTCAAGTAACCCTGGGTTCAATCCCTGGTACCAAAAAAAAAAAAAAAAGAGGAGAGCCAAACATTTAGTTCTGGCAAACACATCATCTGCTCTGCTCCTCACTGTCCCCACGCCCTCCTCCCTTTCCAGCCTGCCCCCTCCCCGTCACCCACTAATGGCCATTGCCTGCCTGTCCTCAGGGCTGCATGTGCTCCACTATGCCTCACTGCGTTCACTTCAGAAGGATCACTCGTTATCGTCCCTTTAAGAAAGTGTTCAAGTCCCCTTATAGCCTGGTCCATGCCCTTATTATTTTCATAATCCCTGAGGGTGGTAAAGGCAGCATTTGAGCACAAGAGACCCACACGACCTGTGTTAGAACTTTGGCCCCACCATCTGGGAGCTGTGTGACTTTCAACATGTTAGACATTTTTTCCTCRTCTGTAGACTGGAGATAATTATATATTCACACCATAGGCAAATACCAAAGATTATGTGAATAAATTTACATGACGTACAGTCACCTCACTTAATGATGGGAAGTTACTCAGTGTTATCAGCTGATACATACACCTTCTCAAGAAATCTGATCCATAAATCTGATCCATAAATCTTCTCAAGAAATAAATAACCCTTTATTTGGACAAAGGGTCTTTGCAGACAAAAAATCTCATTGAACTGAGATCATAGTGAATTAGAATGGGCCCTAATCCAATGACCAGTGTCCTTATAAGAAAAGGAAAAATCAGACAGACAGACATGGAGATGAGGACATAGGCAGAGACTGGAAGGATGCATCTGCAAGACAAGGAACACCAAGGATTGCCTGCAACAGCAGAAGCTAGGGGTGAGGCAGGGCAGATTCTCCATCAGGGCCTCCGGAAGGAACCAACTCTTCTGGCACCTTCATTTCTGCACTTGAGCCCCCAGGACTGTAAGAGAATAAATTGCCTCTACTGTTTTTACCCATCTAATTTGTGATACTTTTGTTAYAGCAGCCCTCAGAAACTAATACACCCAGATATTTATTTTGCCATTTAAAATCAAAATAGTCAAGCCTCAAGTAGGAAGACATATGACAAGGAACATGCCAGAACCTCAGGTGTCTGAGAATAGAACCAAGGCATTGATAGGCTGGGCTATCAGAGGGTAGTAGCCATCAGCCCTGGCTGTGARGCCTTTCCATGCAACGTGCCAGTTACTGACAAGCAGAGACAGTGAATGGGCCAGAGTTAATGCATACATAAAAAATTTCTAAAAGGAGAATTAGAAATTAAAGAGTGTCTGAAAACAAGATGTTGACAGACAGGCACGGTGGCATATACCTGTAATCTCAACCACTTGAGGCCAGGAGGATTGCAAGTTCAATGCCAACCTGGGCAATTTAGCAAGACCCTATCTCAAAATAAAGAAACTTTAAAAGGGCTGGGGATGTAGCTCAGTGGTAGAGCACTCCTGGGTTCAATTCCTAATACCACCACCAAAAAAAAAGAAAGAAAGAAAGAAAAATTAAATGAATATTGAAAGAGCATAACGTGTTTCTATTTTTAAAGTCATGAAGTTGCAACTATATGTGGCTCACCATTGCCCTGTCTCCCAGGTTGAGAGAAGGTGAGTTTCAGGGCCTTTGTCACCGCTGTTCTCTTGAACAGCCAGCAATCGGGTGCTGCTGTGCTAACTGGACCTGAACAGTCTCTGTGGGTCAGGCCTGGCAGCAAACACCTCACTAGGGAACAGTGTCATTTTGAGTCTTTAATTATGGGATAAAATCCTTAA